TCAATGCCCCACACGTGCTTCTTGCGGGTTTAGGAGCCATCCCCTCGCTGCAGTCCTAGTAACCTAGTATGCTATGGCTGTTCTTTCTGGCTCATCTGGTGCTTAAGCTCTGTTGAGATGTAGGGCTCCGTACACTGACATAACCTACCGATCTGTACTTCAAACATCCCTCTAGACCCTTACCCAAAAAACGTCCAAGAAGCATAGTGGAGGGGCCTTTCGGCTTTATAGTATAGTGATAACAAGGAACCCCAAAGAATGATATTGGTAGTTTAGGCGCCTACACAACACTGAAAAAACCCTCACCATCCTGGCCCTCACCGCCTCGAGTCCGAACCCTGGAGCCTACAAAAGACTCTCCTGGAGGCTCTTGAGGGTAGACCCTATAAGCCCTAAATGCTGAAGCGTTTCGAGTTTTGGGGGTTCGTTGCGGCTTTGTGCAACTCCAAATGGCGACGTAGACGCTACAACAGTTTGGGCCACCTAAACCGTAAACCCTAAACCNNAACCCTAAACCCTAAACCGTGAATCATGGACCAAACCTGGGGGAACACTGTAGACCCCCTGTGTAAACCCTATCAACGCCCTTAAAACCGTCCATGCGAACTCCAGACGACATAACCTGATCCTAAATTCAAGAAGCACTATACAACCCCTAAATGCTAAACCTCCAAACCATACAAGTCCTAAGCCCTAAATTCCAAAAACCCTACCCCAAAACCCTCAAATCTAAACCCTGAAGCCCTAAAACCCCCAAAACCCCAAATCATCAGAAACCTCAGTCCCCAAGCCCTGAAGCCCACAAGCCTTCAACCCTCCAACCCAAAATCGAAAATCCTAAGAATCTGAGAAGCCCTGAACCATGACTTCACCAAACTTCGAGGCACCGCTCTTGATGAGGTTGTGCGACTCAACGAGCAAAGGCAGCATCTTGTTCACCTGCCCAAAAGGCATCTCAATTAGTAGGGTTTAGGGTTTAGGGTTAGGGCATAAGATTCTAGAACTTGTCGGGTAGGGGTATTACAAGCTCCCAAAGCTCTCAACTGCCCTAAACCCTAGGGCTCTGGAAGGGGTACTTGGAGGCTTGATTAGGTTAAGGGTTTAGGGATGTCAGGCCAAGAGCTCTCAAGCTTTTGGGATATCATGTACATGGGTTCTGTAAGGCTCCTACAGTATAAGGCTACGGCAAAGTGCACTATAGTGGTTTTATAGGTGGGTTGTAGGGTTCAGGGATTACCGGGGTTCTCTTTTGCGGGGGATTGGGTGTGTCTAAAGGATTTCCAACTCTGTGCTTCGCAGAAGTTAGGAAACGGCCAAACAGTTTTGGGGTTTAGGGTTTAGGATTTCGACGGCCGAATGGTGTTTGAGAGCAGTGGCATTGACCTTCACCTGGCAGCACGCACTTGCTTCGAGCTGGAACTCAAAACCAAGTACACTGCACAGCCTTCAACCCTCTGCAAAACAGTGGCTCGTCTCAGGCTGTCTTCGTTTATTGGTAACCCTACACCCTAAACCCTAAA